GACTGATGACATTGATGTGAAACCAATGATAATGAAATCTAACAATTAATTATTTATTTTGATTTTTCTATTTTTCTTGTACTATTTGATTTTCAACTAAAAATTATCACATTTTCGAATAGCTAATTTTTCCTATTTCTATTCGAGTTAATTTTTTTTTTAATTATGTAACTTCCCAAACATTTTTATTTTTTAAAATCCTCCTGAATGGATTCTTATATTTCAAATTGAATTAAAACTACTCCTGTGTTTACTAATATTTTTTTTTTAATGAGAAACTATTTTTCTTTCAATAATGGATTATACGTATTTCATCACTAAGAAACGTTAAAGTATGACTGAATTAGGTATAACTTTCTCTGACCTCACAGATGACTATTTTCTACAAATTGTAAGAACATATCAAAGGACCAAATATTTGATAACACAAGACTCGAAATTGATTAAAACATTTAAAATATCTTAATACTAAATAAAAAAATAATCATCAATCTGACACAATCATCGAATCGAAATGGTAATATTAATCATCAAAGGAAATCAATCTACGAGAGATAAAGACAAACCTTCAAAACGAGAAAGGAAGAGAGCAAGGAAATCGATCAACAGAGAGCAAACGCGTTAGAATAGTACAAGCTTCTGATTGTCAAATCCAAAATCTCTGCAAACACAGAAACAATAGTTAGGAAAATTGATTAAAACGATTAAAATATCTGATTTCTAAATAAAAGAGTTCTACTGTACTTGCAACAAAACACAAACTGAGTATATAAACAAGGAAGCAGGAGTGAAGCCTAATTACAATCAGATATAACCCCAAAAAAAGTAACGCTAATCACTTTTACTTAATGTATGATAAAGTCAGAAACATACAAATACAGTTACAAACCAGTAACCTATAATCGAGAATAGTTTCTAAGAAAGCTCTTCGATGGATCAGAGTTTCATCTTTATAAAGACCAGATCTATGAAAACAATCAGCAGCATCGACAACGTGAATCAACGGATTGTAAGAAGAACAATAATCAAAGCATAGATCAATCACAAAACTGAACGAATTGCTCATCTAAACCTAAAGAGAAACGGAACAAAAGCAGCTCTCTAACCTATGCGAAACGAAAACAGGAACAATCAGATATAACCCAAAAAAAAGTAACCTTAGAAACGAGAGAGGAAGACAGTAAGGAAGAGAGCAAACGCGTTACCTGAGAGGGTTTGTGACTGTTACCTGAGCGAAGAGGTTCGATCTGACGGGTTCGAAGGTCAGAGGTTGCAGCGGTATCGTCAGTCGTCAAGTCGGTTGTGGTTCAGGGTGAAGAGAGGAGACGAAAGGGTCTTCAGATCTCTGGGATCTCAGGCCGGAGTCAAAGCGAAGGGTTTTCGCAGGTGATGAGGAACGAGTCGTCGGAAGAGGGTTCTCGCCGGAATCGATGAAGCTGCAAGGTTGAAATCGGGATTAGATTTCAGAATCGGAAAAGTCAGAAATGAAACGTGGTAAGGCTAAATCTGTGGACAAGTCGAAAAGAAAGACTTACAGTTTTCGGCTGCGACGGTGGTGGTACAAGGAAATGTACCGGAGAAGACTTTCACGGCGAAGAGATTGGGAATCGCCGGGGCAGATCGGGATAAGGAAAAGAAAGGTTTTGTTTTGCGGAATGATCGAGAGAGAGGCAGACAAGATTAGGTCTGGACCGAAAATTGTGAAAGGTGGAGATTTTGGGCCGAGTTGCCAATTGTTGTCCAAGGCCCAAAGCCCAGTGTGGTGTCTATCGTTTTTGGGCCAGAATCAAGGGAAGAAAGAGATTCAGAGATGGGCCGGGTTTTATGGTTATCAGGCCCAACACGGAAACAGACCCAGAATAGTCTGTTATGAAGATAAGTAGAAGCAGTTAGCTTCTGTTACAAGGAATCTCATCTTTTGTATTCTCTCTCTAGGTTTTACAGAAACTATCTCTCTCTAAAGAAGAATTTGACGCCATTGTTAAAGGCTCAAGCTTCTTCGATCTGTTGTAATTTGTTCTCTGATCTAGTGAAGGTTCTGGACCACCGTCGTCCACCCGAGACGTACCCGGCAAAGGGGAACTCGGTGATCAATCTTGTGTGTCTTTACTTTTGCGTTTTTTCCTGCGATTTGACAAAAGATTTACGTGAGATTGCAAACTAGTTCGTGAACACAAGACAAGGCAAAGAGGTTAAAACCTCACATCCAACAAGTTAAAAGGTTTGTGTTTTCTTTCAACGCCCGCTTGTGAGGAGTCCCTTAAATGATATGTAAAGATCATTGTTGTCTGTCCCGAATATCTCTTCCGCTTTCCGTAGTGTTTCCTGGCCATGAAATGAGATCATTTTTGGATTAAAACACTCAAAAGATTACAAACAAAATGAACATTTGTGGCTGAGCAATGAGCAATATGTTAAGGGGTTATTACCTCCCGGCTCTGTTTCTTAGCGTTTAGTTCCTTTATGTTAGCTAGAAATGCGCTGAATTGTTCGAAAGACAAATGGCTCCTGCAAATTCAAAAAATGCTATTTATCATTCATTCCCATTTACTAGTTGTTGGTCTCTAGTAGGAGCTTTAGAATACCTGGCTTGTCTAAAGAACTCTTTCCCATCAATCCGCGGATGGCGAGCTGTACACGAGATGGCGGATGTGAGAGTTTAGAGATATAGAGGCTACAAATCACATGATATAACATTGGTCAAAAGATGCACTGTACCTGAAGTAGAATGTGAGCGAGGAGGAGAGTTTGGTACTGAAGATTGCTGGCTTGTTGAAGACCACATACGTATATCATAATGTGACGATGTTGGAGATGCAGCACCAGAGTATTGCTTTGGCGATGAAGCAGCAGAGTAGCTTCTCGGAGACCCACCAGTGGATAAGATCTTTGGTGTTCCGCTTGGAGTAAACCCGGGCGGAGTCAAAGAGACTCTTTGCCTGGCTTCACTTAAACCTATTTCATGAAGGATTAATACATACATACATACATCAGAATAAGCAGTGTTTGGAAGGGGCTTTTGTTCTTGGTTATTTGTAAACATTAGAATCAAGCAAATATTATAATCAAGCACCAAATATATTTTGGCCAAGCATTTGTTCCTTTGTTACTACAAACTGAACTGTTGCATAAATCATCCATCATTACCTTGGTTGTTTGAGTAGGAACCATGTGCCGATAAGCCATTTGAATTCTCATCTATAATGCATTCAGAGTAAATAACATCAGAACAAGCAATTCACACATAAAGACAACGAAGGTCACCAAGCTCAGTCAGAAAGAATATTCTCGAGATGTTACAATACCTTTGTCTCGAGGAACCATTCTTACATTAGTTGTCTCTGTTTGCTGCAAAAAGAATTAATACGAAAGAGTAAGTAACAATGTAACATCATCGTATATTGGTTTTTATGTAATAAGATGTCAAAGAAGAAGTGAATGTTGAACATACAGATCGATTCTCATCATTCAATGATTGCATCAATTGTCTCTTGAATGCTTCAAGCTACCAAAAATGACAAGAAAAACACACACGAGGAGTTTGAGCATGAATCAAAACCCATCCGTAACACGAACAAACAGTCCAAGACAAGAAGTCACCTTTGCAAAATCACGACCGAGTTTCTTCGCAGTGACTGCCAGTGAATCTCTCTCTTGAGTTAGTTTCATCTTCAATTTCAATACCAAGACAAACACACTCAGATCCATCAAAATTCTAACTCTAAGTCAAAACAAAAAAATTGAAAATCCGGAGGGATTCTTACATTTTCGTCGAGGACGTTCTTAAAATTTGAGTCAGATTCCTGGTATAGTCTTTCCATGGAGGATACTCTGCTTTCGAGTTCGTCGACAAGGCGATCTTTCTCAATCAGCTTCTGTCTTAGACCGGAGACTTGAGACTCGAGATTAGAGACCCTTGAAGCGATGGCCATGGAAGTGATCTTCCTTGCGAGGTCGAGCTGATCATAAGGATCGGTCGGAATCACAGCGAGAATCTCGTCGGAGAGGCTGAAGTCAGGCCCGCCTCCGCCGCTTTGCGACATGATCGCAGGGTCCCTCGGGATCTTCGTGGTCTTGCCCAAATGCTACGTGGCGGGTTTTTATTGGCTCTTAATTTATTATATTTGTCGGCCTCCTTGTTGGTAAAT